CGACTCGGTCAATATGTGCCAATCAAACGAAAACATCCTTAATTCTTGCTTAATCAAAAATAAATAAATAGTGATAGTATCACCAAGCAAAACAACCGGGGTCTGGGCCGGTTTTGCGATCAACAATAGAAAAGAATCACGCGCGCCTTAAACCTGCGCGCCCACGCACTCGCCATTGTGGTCAACCATCCTGTCAACGTAAATTACAGACGCGGTCACGCCTAGCGTGGTATACTTAAATTTTAAACCAGACAACTTTCTGTTACTCGCAAAAACCAGGGCGGATACCCTTGTAAGGGTGTTCGCACCGACAGCGTGCACAGGCACACAATTCGATTATGACCCTCACGCATGGCGTGTGCAGGCACACGGTCTGGTCTCAGCCCTTAATTACAGCGTGTGAACACAGAATTTATGGCCAATCAACTAATGCAGAGCTCCGTCATGATTCGTACATATCAGATATAGCATGCACACAACGCATGAAGGCAATTGGAAAAAAGAGGGGGAGGGAAAAAGAGGAGAGAGAGAAGAGAAAATAGGAGAAGAAAAAGGGTAAGAAAGGGAAGGCGAGGGGTCAATCTTGTCCCTCGCTTTCCTTACCCCTTCCTTTGCTTGCCTCCTGCTCGACCTCTTGCCTCCTGCTTTGCGCTCCCCTCATGCTCCTGCTGGCACTTCGCTGCTCTTTGGCTCGTGTCTTTCGCTCCTTGCCTTTCCGCCAAAGCTGCAGCACTCCCGCAAGCGAGAGTTCTCTCGCAATCTGATCCGTGCCACGTGTGCCACGCATGCTGATCTGTCTCGTTGGGTGACGTGGCCTCTTTTTTATAGTGGAGAGGCCAAGAGATCGGGGCTGTGCTGCAGTCCCATGGTCGGGGCTGTGGTCAAACTCTGGACCAGGCCTGTGCTAAAAATAGCAGCAGTCCCGACCTCGGGATATGAACAGTCAGTCCTATTTTTTGAACGGGACTGGCGCAGGCCCAGTCCCCGGTAGATGAACAGTCAGTCCCACGCTAAAAATAGCGTGGGGCTGTGTTATTTGTAGAACGGGACTGGCGCAGGCCCGACTTTGGGAAACGAACAGTCAGTCCCGTGCTAAAAATAGCACATGACCCTATTTTAATTATTCGGGCCTGGCTGTTCATCTATATGGCTTACTTAGGGCTGTTCCTTTCCTGGCCAGGTTACGCGGTCGTGTCGGTCCGGTCCCAACCGGTCAAACTTAATTATCTCGCTAACCCTTGGTCCGTTTCAGGCGCCGTTTGGACCGGACACCACTAATTGGCCCATTGCGGTCGCGTCGGTCCAGTCCAACGGGGACGATTAGGTCTCCGGCGGACCGTACCGCCGCGCCGTCTTTCCCTTGATTTCGGCCTAGGGGGAAGTCTAACCAACGCGTTAGGACCCAGCTTGACTATGACCATGGACGTCCCTAAGCGCAGTTTTGATGCAGCGCCGAGGTTGACTGCCTGCGATGAGTCGATTTCTGCCGCTGCGCCGCATTGTCTTCCGACACCGTGCCTCAAGACGTACTTTTCGGCTTACTCCCTTGCCTTGGGGCTGACTTCCAATGGTTGCTTCTTTCCTATGAGCAGCAGGCCGATTTCTCTGAAGATGCCAATTCTCGTTCCTTCTGGTGGGTACCCTGTTCCATCTGAGCCTGATTCACTTGGTACTGCCTCTCCCTCTGCGCCCAGGTCTGTGCTAGGGTCATCACAGCGTCCCGTCCCCCTTCAACGGCCATTGCCATCAGTTCTTCTTTCGGCCCTATCATTGCTCCCCACGAGTCATTTTCGTCCCTGCGTCTAAACGTGGTGACCGGTCCCTCCCCGAGTTCCGCAACTACGTCGGGCTCGCCCTTTTCTAGAGTCTGAATTAACAGTTGGTCCATTGTAGGGGCGGCGCCTACCATCTCGTTATCCACGACCAGGGTCCCTCCTTCATGTTCTAGGAAGGCGTCGATTGACTCGGCGTCCTCTATTCCTTCCGGCGTGATACACACCCTACTCATTCCATCCGCCCTATTCCGAAGCCCCGCAATTCGCTCGACCTTGTAGTCGAATTGCCATATGAAGCCTATCCACCTCCCGACGGTTGGGTCTATAGGTTTGTAGTTCTTTAGTGCCCGAGCAACGTTGGTCGGATCGATCCTCAGGATAAATCGCCTCCCGAACAGGTATGTCTGGAAGGTCTTAAGACAATGCAGGATAGTTAAGACCTCTTTCTTGAACTGTGAGTACCGCCGCTCTGCCGAATTCAAAGTCCTACTCTCAAATCTGATCGGTCTTTCCTTGCCCTCCTCGCTTTTCTGTATCAATACCCCTCCTACTGCCAATGGTCCCCCATCTGTCGCTAAGATAAAGGGTCGTCCTACTTCGTCATTGAAGCCGGGCGCTGCTAAGATAACCTGGTCGTAAGACAGGATGTCTTTGAGGGTCTGGGCTGCCACTCCGGTATCCTCGGTCCATTCCAAAGTGTCTCCTTTCCTAATCATCGCGCGGATAGGCTCAACTATCTTTGCGAATCCCTTGATAAAGATCTTCCAGAACCCGACAACGCCTAGGAAGGCTCGCACTTCCGTCGTGGTGCGCAAGGGCGTCGACCATCGAAAGATCTTATCTGTTTTTGCCGGGTCGGGTTTCCTTCCATAGGCTCCACAGCGAAACCCCAGGATTGTTTCGTCCGGGACGACCATAATGCTCTTTGGTCCACTTGCGGTGATGTTATAAACCAAAAACCGCTGGAGTAGATCCTTGATATCCTGCAGGTGATCCCAGATAAACTTCCGTATGCCCGGCTTAACCTCCGTCTCATCTTTGTCTCGCGCGCCCTTTAGGGGATTATCGTCTATATATGGCTCGCATTTCTCCGGGAACATGTCCCCTGCTACGGCAAATATTATCCTTTGTGCTTCCGCCACCGCGTTTGTGAAACCCATGGGGGTCACTTGCATCTGCAACTGCCCTACCGGTGTGTGCATGGCGGTATCCCTCGCATCGAGTGACAGTTGGTTGTATCCTGAGTACAAATCTATTAAGGAGTAAATGCTTCGCCCCGCGTAGGATTCTGCCAGTAAATCGGCCTGTGGGAGCGACCCCGCATCCCGGATTGTTACTGCGTTCAGCTTCTGCAAGTCCTGAATCCATCTGAGTGTCTTGTTTGACTTCCGGAAAACGAATCACTTATTCACATAGGGGGACGCGGTGGGTTCGACTACGAACGAATCTATCTTAGCCCTAAGCAATTCAGTGACTTCCACTGCTATACCAAACTCATAGGCAGGCCCTTTGTCGTTCCAACACTCATGCTCAACCGTATGGATCATAACGGGGGAAATTAGTTTCGCATCCAACCGACCCTTCTGGTGGTCATTGAAAGCGAAGGCTAGATGAAACTCCTGGCACGCCCTTCTTATCAACTAAGTCTCGCTCTCTGTTAGGAACCCATCTACCCCTATTTTCATGGTTTCTGCTACCTCATCCGATATCCGATGCCCTTCCATTGCTCGCCTTTCACTTATTATCCGCAAAACTTCTTCTTCCTTCCCCATGGCCTCTTCCCTTGATGTTTCTATTAGGATTGAGACCGGCTTGGCCTTCTTGCCTACGGGTTTGTACTTTCGCACACTGCCTTCGGGGATCGTTCTTCTAAAAAATGAACGGTCGGAATTGACCTTGCTACCTCCAGGACGGGGGGCTGAATACTGACTAGCTTCCCGTTCAGACAATAGCCCTTTCGGACCCTGTTTTTAAATTTGGCAAGCGCTGCGGGGTCCACCCCCACCTTGTGATACTTGATGGTCTTAACGAGTTGTAATAAGTCTGGGATTTCGAGCACCACTTCCGGCGTTTCCTTCCGGCCTTCCTTTGGTTTGGGCAGACTGGCCCCAAGTTCGACTTTTTATTTTTTTTCTGCCACCATAACTTCCAGGGTCTCATCCTCTTGCCTCTTTTTCTTCAGAGGTAGACCCATCTTGATCCACTCCTTGCTAAAGGCTTCCTCAATCATGATTTCTACCCTTTCCCTCATTCCTTCCATTCGTGCGAATGCCCCCTTTCACGTACTCTCCTCAAACGTCGGCGACCAAGTTGCCAATTTGCCTTTCGGCGGATCGCCTCCGGTCCCAAGTAGTCGGAGGAGTTCTCTGCGGCCGGTCACTGGGTCCTCTATGTCTACCATGTATGTGCCATCATGCAGATGCATACCTATCATCTCTACATTGGCGCACCACGGCCTCCCGAGAATTATGTCATGATCCATTTCGTCCATCATGGTCATCCGCTGGAAGGACCGGATTGATTCCCTGATCCACGCCCTGACTGCGCATTTCGTAACGTACCCTGGAAAGAGAATCTCCCCGCCAGCTCCTCGGATACTCCCCATCACTTCCTTGTTTACGGTGCAGCCGGTAATCGTTGCAAAGTACCGTCGTATGAGGGTAATTTCCGCACCGCTGTTCACTAATGCGTCTGTGTAGTCGGTTCTGATTAGCACTTTCAGCTTTCCTACGGGCAATGCATGGAAGCTAAGGTTTGTCCCGGGTGGTGCCCGCATGACTTCACCCCCTTCTCGGTCTGGTAGGCTTAGGCGGATGTCTGCAAAGGCCTTTTCCAAGTCCTCCAGATCCCCAGGGATCCTTTGGAGGTTGGAGACGCCTTGGGGTGCCTCTGCCTCTTCTGTCTCTTGCTCCGGTGGTTCCGGGGCCTCCTCTACCTCTACGCGCTTGCGCGTTAGCAACTGCCTGAGTCCTTTAAGCAGCCTTGGGCTGGCTTGCAGCATGGTCTGGAAGGATATCGATACCATGGTACCCAGCAGCTTGCTCAAGGTGCCGTCAATCTCTGGCGAGGTCAAGATCGGGATTTGGTACCTGAACTTCTTTTTCGCCGTCGTAACCTTGTCTACCGGCTCCTCTTCCCTTGCCTTCCCGTAGACCTTCTCCTGTTCCCCGGTCTCAGTTTCTTCCTGATCTGCGCCAGTCCCAACAACCTCTTCCATTATCGTGTCTCGAATAAGCTTCTTTTCCGCACTGGCCCGTCGGGTGGTGATGTTTACCCTATCCAGCCCATTGCCCTCTACGATGAAATTGGCCTGTGGTCCGCATCCCAAGGTCGGTCCCAGACAATATCCGCTACCGGCTCTGCCTCTACGGCGACTATATCCAAGTTATTCAGGATGATGACGACACACCGCATTCCTCCTGGCGAATTCCAATTTACGCGCTCTCCCTGGGGTCCGAGAATCTCACCCTTAAGGGACCTGCTGCATCTCTGTCTCATGATATCATGGTTGAGTCTTGGGCAAGTCCGCACGAAATGTCCGACCATTGTGCAATACCTGCATTGCTCATTGGACGGATCCCTTTCTGCCATACCCCCGATTTGCCACCATTGCCGGAACTACGGCCTCTTAAGGCGGGAGGGCGGGTCGAGACACCTGCGCCTGCATTACTAATAGCGCATTTTCCATTCTTTCCATCTTGCCATCAACCCCGTGCACTCGTTCGTGCAGGCTCTCTATCCCCTTCTTGACCTTATCCCCTGTCTTCCCAGTCAAGTTTATAACCTTCCCTTCCTTAAGCAGGGCTAGCGTATCGGTCACCACTCTCTTTTCTGCGAGGTCTGTTACCGTGCTGAAGTCCACATCCCTAGTGCTAGTCTGCTGGTAAGCTGACAGAATCTTATCTTTATCGAATTCGAAGAACTGCATGAGAAAATACTTACTCATTATCCGGTCTGTTACCCCGGGAATTCGTGACGCGACTAAAGTAAAGGCCCTTAGCAAGTCGTTGTAAGTCGCATAGTTCTTCCTTTGGACTGCTGCCAATTCGGCTTCTGTTGCCATCTTCTCCGCCTTTAGGTACTTCCTTATCATCTCGTTCCTGGTTTCCTTCCAAGATCCACTAGTGACGACAATGGTCATAATGTCTCTACCCAGACTCAGTGACACATGCCGCCCCAAATGGTCCATCTTCTCTTCCTCACCCCATTTCAACAAGGCTGCCAGATTCTCATAATCTATCAGGAACTCCGTAATGTTCGCCCCATCAAAAGTGAGTTTCTTCTTGGCATCGGCCAGATACCCCTGATTCTTATTCACAGCCCGGGTGAGGGTAGCTACTATTTTCTTAAGACCTCCCTCAGAGCTACCTGCTTCACTGGTCGGACTGGTCCATTCTCCTTCCTTGCTATCCCCCTGCTTTTCCCCAGCCTTTGGCGTACCCTCAGGATCGAACCATCCTAGCACCCTTTCTCTGAGACTCCAAAGTCCGTCGCAACCCTTTGCTATTTTCGGTGTGGCGGGCAGGCGGCTAGCCCCGCTGTCCATATCAGGCGGGGTTGTAGCCTTTTCTGCCTCCACAGCCGGAGCATCCCCCTTTTCCTTCCCTTTCTTGCTGGACGTTCCCTTATCATGATGGTTGTTATCTTTTCCTTCGTGCCTGATTTTGCCCTGGTTGACCCTGCGTTCCTCTCGCGACCCTTCTCCTAGGGAGTCCCTTTCATTCCCAGCCATCATTTCCTCCATAAGCCTCGCTTTATATTCTGCGGTTCGCTTTTTTATCTCTGCCAGCTTACGGCGGGTGTCCGAGACCTTCGTTTTCTTGGGCGTAGTCCCTTCTGAGTTTCGAGGACTCGATCTTTCATTGTCCCTTCGTTCCCTATTTTCCTGAGGTCCTCTTTTACTAACCCCGACTTTCCCCGAACTTTCGCCTATCGAAAGATCCTTCCCATCTTCCCTGGTTCCCTCTGGTTTCGCTGACTCTTGATCCTTTACTGATGCTTCGTTTCATTCCGCACCCCTACCCGTGCCCTGACTTCCTTTGCTTCGCAGTTCCTCAGCCTCTTCTTCCGACGCCATCCCTTTACCTACCCTGCACATGGAAAGTTTTTTGCGAAACGGCCGGTTGTTCATAGCTTCCTTAGTTCCCGGGCCCTAACGTCCCCTTATTCTTACTTATTTCCATGTTTTCCCGTCTTATTTTGTCGGGACGATTCGCCTAACAATTTCCTACAGGGCGCCGCTCTGTGTTACTTCTGTCGAAAGGCTTGCTGCCGAGGTTTGGCGTTCTGAGGCTGGCGGCTCTCCCCTTGAGGGTAGCCCCTTTTGACTCCCCGACACCCGGATGCCCCAGCGTTTTTCAGCGCCGGTGGTCTCCCCAGTTCCCTCCTGCCACGATCGCAGGAGGGACGAAGCTCCGACCACTACTCTCTTGCTGACGGTTAGCTTCTCATTCCGATTTTCCACCTTTTCTTGTTTTCCCGGTACTGTTCTTTCTCACGCCGGTCCCTCAGGTCTGTCTTGCTCATCCGGTTCTTCAAACAGATCGGTCACCCCTGCAAGATAGTTTTCTCCCATTTCTATTTCTCTGATAATTATTGGTTCATATTCCTCAAACGCCATGCGTGGTAATCCGAATATCAGGATTTCGATGGATTCGAGTAGTTCACGGGCTTGGTTTTCCCAAAACGGCCCGTGCCTAACTGATACATCGTAAAACATCCTCGTCGTTTGCGGACGAAAGTAGTGGTTCCAGACTAGAGTCAACTCCACCAGGCTTCTTGCCCTTGAGAGACTGCCAAATACCAAGTCCACCATGAAGCGAGGCACTCGGCACCGCAGTCCCGTCATCGGGGCCTTAAATTCTCGCCATCCTCCTACCTCCACCCGGGTTCTCAGCCCCACGTTCCTTCTTCCTCGCACCTCTTGGCCTATCCGGTCCACTATCCTAGTAGCCCTTTGGAAGATTGGTAACAGTCCATGCCCTAGTGCCAATTCCGTTCCTAGCATGTGCCATCCGACCTCCGGCAGGTATACGGTTCCTGTTACCTTTAGATCGATATACAGGTCGTCCCCTGGTCCCCTGTTGAACCTCATCCCACTCCACAAGCATTCTACCATCATGAACGTCTGGTCCCTTCCCAAGGTCACGACTCTCCATTCAGTGTCAATTCCTCGGACCATGTAGCTTGCCGGGAGCGATACCTCCCATCCGCCTCCACTTTCCGTGGGTGGCCGAGGGTGCGTGGGCCGTCGCGACATCCGTGCGCGTCTCATCGCCATTGTTGATTAGCGGTCCCCTGCACAATTTAAACAGCAAGCGAATTTTGCTTATTCCATCCATTCTTCGGTCTCACCCGCGCAACTCCCCAGTTCTTAATTTCGATACTTCTTTTCCTCTCTATCCCCCCCCTCTTTTTCTTGCCTCTCCTACCGGCCTATCTCCACTTCCATTGGCTCATACAAGCAGTGCAGGTCATCTACGTAAGTCATCCCCCGACTTATCTCTCGTCGAACAACGCCCCATAGGACCTCATTGCTAACAACTGGAGCTCTTGGTCTGGTAGTAAACACAGCACGCAGGATCCGCAGCACCTCATACCTCTGTGCGCCGCTGAATGGCCCCATTTCTAGGAAGGCCCGATAATATTCTCGGTGAACCAACACGTCTTCAAACGCCAGGTTGGCGAGGTCGGCCATCGCCCTCCTGACAAGCTCCACCCCGCCTAACCTCTCTAGCAAAAATGGCGGCAGTCTCATCCGAACGTTTTCACCGGGCAATTCAAAGCTCCCGATCATGGCTACCCTAAGGTTCGCCGTTACATCATCAACCCCCGGGTCCGCGAATTCGAATCCCGCCTGCCACACAAACTGCCACGCCCCTTCGAACATACTTAGTGGATCCTCCCCCGACGCCAACCAAACTCCGAACTCTCGCCATCCGCCCTCAGACACATACAATCGCCCTTCCTCACGCACATGCCCCCGCGGGTCCGGGTTCCACTCCCCATTTTCGTCCGCGCGCCATTCGACCCTCGTTACCAAGTAAACCATATTTTTCATACGTTCAACCCCGACCCAGTCCACCACCGGGTGCCAACCCTCATTTGCGGCCGACAGACTAACTTCTACTCCACCCTCTACTTCCCTAGGTGTCTCAATGCCTAGGGGGCAATCTTCAAGAAACGTCCTTCTTCGTGCCATTGCACGCTCGTCCTCGGTCTCCTTGCTCACAATCCACACCGAACCGTACAATGACCAGACATCCCATTCCCTTATCTTAGCAATTCTCCCATGCTTGCCTGGCCCCGCGGCTTTTCCCGCTCTCAGTCGAACTACAGTACCTCGAACAACTTAAATACATCACCTACATAGCAGGGTGTGGCGGCTACCTCACGGCGAATTATAGCCTCTCTGGTTTCCGGGGCCACTTTCAGTCGGTCATTCCTTTCGATGTCCAAAATGATGAGAACCTCCCAGGCTCTATCATCATGGAAGCGCCCAAATTTCAGGGACGTTTTATAGAATTCTTCCGTCAGCTAAGCGCAATTCACGTGAACCCGCCCCATAGTGTTGGCTACTTCCTCAACATAGCCGAAACCCCCAAACCAATCTGTTACGAACTCGGGTACCCAGGTCTTGACTAGTTGGCAGGGGGATCTAAATTCCTTCCATCCTCCCATCACAACTCTACTACTGACCCACAAGTGGTTATCACATAGATGAATATTCACAGATGAACATTCTGAAAGTGGGAAAAATTAAGTGGTTTTTCGGGTTTGAATTCATGTTTGTACGTGATGAATCGTAGCTTGCAATTGTGAAAGCTTAGGGTGCAAGATGTTGTTCATGGCGAATTCATTTTTTTTTATTTCTTTTTTTCCGTGAACCATCCTGAAGGTGTTAATGCCCTGAAGGCCTGAAAACACCCCCCCCAACGCTGAGGATCCTGAACGATCCTAAAGAGGTGAATGTCGTTCAGGGCATTCACCCCTTCATGATTTTTTTTTATTTATTTTTTTTTCGTGAAACATCTTGAAGGGGTGAATGCCCTGAAGACCTCAAAAGAACCCCCCCCACCCTATGGCTCCCACTGTTAAGCGCCGAGGATCCTGAACGATCCTGAACGGGTGAATGCCTTCGGAGGTTTGAAAGGAGCACCC